TATAATATAATATAATATAGAATATAATATAATATAATATAATATAATTTTTCTCATTGTTATTATTATCATCGTCATGTTCATTATTACTATTGCTATTACTATTACTTTTACTATTACTATTGCTATTACTATTGTTATTACTATTATTGTTATTATTATTATTGTTGTTATAATTGTTGTTATTTTTTTTTTTTATCATTTTTGTTATTGTTATTATTATTATTATTACTATATTTATTATAGGGGGCTTCGGCTTTCGGATCCATTCACCGTCGCTGAGAGGCACTCAAGGCCTGCTCTCAACAGCGTGCCGTGGATCTCGACCTGGAGGCACAGAGCCAATGCGGGAGTTGAAATGGCATACCGGAGGACTTCCGGGGTTGAAGGCGCAAAGCCCAGTGTAAGGCTTAGCGCCTTAGCATCCAAAGACTCATCTCAGACCTTCTTTGGCCCTATGTATCCTCTGCCGATACTGCACCCCTGTGCCAGGTGGACATCATCAAGTCGCGCTTGGTGCCAAGATCGATCGCTCAGAGTCTTCTGCCATTTATGCTGCCTTGTCGACACCACCGCGGATCGCAGGGAGGGGGGTGCGCCTGGGGGAAACAGCGGAAGGGTCTCAAGCTGAGGAGCGAAGTGCTGGAAAGCCCTTGGCTGCTTCTCCGAGCTCAAGGAGGAGAGGGCCGAGGGCCGATCCGGCACATTGGCACATTCACGCCGAGCATGCCTTGCCTACACTGCACTGCAGGATGCCTCCAAAGTCTTGAAGTTGACTGGGAACCGCGACAGCGATGCTTTGCAGTGGCACAGGCCGTCTCTGCCCGCAGAACTGTGGAGTGTGAGTTTGCCGTGAGTCAGGGCGGCAGACGAGGGCCTCCAGCACAAGAGCCGCAGTCGGGACCGGGAAGTGCTGCAGCCGCGGGAGGCCTCCGGGATGGAAGCCGGGTGTGTCCTTTGCTGAGGGTTTAGGCCGGCACGCAGGGCCACAAGTCCGGACACGATCGATGGAATCACCAATTTCAAGGGGGAAGCTCCTCTCCGGTTGTAGAGCATACATCTCGCCTCCTTGAAAAGCACTCTCAAATCCATCTAACGTGGGTTTGCGCTGCGTGGTGGGACATTCTTTGGGAGGCGCCGCCCATGACCGGCAATGCGCACGAACCTTACTCACGGACATGAGGCACTTTGTTGAACAGTTCTGTTCTGTCGCTTTGACAGCCTGCAGCCGCTAGAACACCGAGGAACGGTTACGGAGGCTTTGGCGCCAAGTGCTCTCAATGCCGGCTGCTGAGAGTCAAGGATTTATTCAAAGCTGCCTCAGTAGGGACTTTCGGGATAGCAGCCGTGCGCATGGCACATCAGGTCCCTCTCGCATGCCTTTGCATGTACACTTTGCAAGGGTTTGCAGCATGTTCAAGGGGAACAGGTTGTACGTTGCTGGCCTTAGCAGCGCATACTGCTTGCACTCAGCGTTGAATAGCTGAACGAGAATGCGAATAAGGCCACGTAGATGCGCAAGCTGTCGGCAACTGTCGGCGTCGTGATGAACAGTTGCACGAGTAGTACCAGCAGTATTGAAGTTTCAAGTTTCATTTGGATCACTGCAGTTCCAATCCCCAACCGGCCTCGAATAGCAAAGCCATAAGGCAATGGTCTCGCTTCGAAGTGTGCTCAGTGTGGAGCAGGGCCTGGGAGCCAAGAGCTATGAGTTGCTTATCTTTCATCGTGATCATGGCTGCAACAGTTGACACAAAGCCGCCACCACCACCATCATCGTGGCGATGTTGCTGAGTGTGCTATTATTCTCAGTGCTACTATTGGTATGGTTCTGCTTGCTTTCATTACACGATTATCGTGGTGGAGCGAACAGCCTGTTGCGGGTTACAGCAGACGTGCAGCAGCGTACTGAACCGATGGTTCTCAAGTGTGCCCCACGTGTTCCCAGTTCCACGAGGGCTCGGTACGGCGATGATTGATACGATTCTTGCAGGTCCCAGAAGTTGTATCACTGCACTCTTATCAGTATTCTGTGGGAAAGCGTAGAGAACGCTGTGATACTGTTGAGAGCATCGATAGCAGCGTTCTCGGTCAAGAATTGCTACTGGTGTTGGTGCTACTAGCCTGCTCCTGGTAATCCTGCTCCTTTTCTCAAATGGGGTTTTCCGAAAATAGGGGACTAGTACCCTAAATAGTAGGATCCTTCTCTAAGGACCCCAAAAGAAGGTACCCCTAATTTTCGGAAAGTCCCAAATGCTTAGACATGCAAGGATGGAGCGATGCGGCTACTGCGGGCAGCCTGTCTCCAGAGCGAACTGCTGCAGCCGTGTGCTGCCCAGACATGAGGGCTTCTGGGCCCGAAGGAGCCAAAGTTACACGAAAGTTAAAGAAGCAAATCGCTTCATGGGGCTTTGCAGAAATCACAGAGTCTGTCACGCCACGGGTAAAGGCAGACTCTTCTCTTCTCAGGCTGTCACTGCACCTACTACTGCGGCCTGAACCCGAGAGAGTGACACAAAGTTCGCTAGGACCGCTGATTGAGCTTTGCTTTTGGTTCTTGTGTGATTTTCCTGCTCCCGCTCTGGAGAGGGTAGCTTCTTGAGAAGCATCGCTTAGAGCGTAACAGCAGTGGCAACTGGAAATCAATGAGCGCCGCCATGTCTTAAAGCACGTGCTCCTGCTACAAGCTCTTGTTGCCCAGGGCGCGAGTGTCAGAGATCTCACTGGAAGGCCGCTTCGAGGGTGTTTCGCGGTGGAGTCAGAATAGAGACGGTTGGAGTTGCTTCCGCTACAAACTGATCCAAAGGCTGTTTGGGCGAGTTAGACCTCACAAAAAGTCTGAGTGAGGGTCAACGGTCTGTTGAGATGCTGATATGTTCTATCACAGTGAGCAAATGGTGCCATCAACAGGTGCACAAACTTGTTTGTCAAAGTGCGCTGGAGTGAGCCTTGCGACGCATGTGTCCAAAGGGGAGGCGCCGGTAAAAATCACGGTGCTTGCGGGCCCTGGAGCATTGGCTTTATCTGAGACATCAGCGACCCATAACCAGCACGAAGTACCAGGGCCCAAAAATGTCCGTGTCTTTGGTCGTGTCTTAGTCTTCCTTTGCCGGAGCACAGAAGTTGCTCAGCGCAGGTCAGAGCAGCCAATTGCTCACTCTCTCTCGCACAGCTTCGCCCATCACATGCTCGAAGTTAAAGTGGTGAGAAGGAATAATTGCTTCGAGTAGGCTTGGTGTACCAGGTTCTCCGAACTCAAAACAGAACGCCCCACCCTGCACTCGACATTTGACAGCTGGCGCAGGCAGCAATATAAAGGCACTTCTGTCGTTCTTGTCAGTATAGCGGTACTGAAGAATGTGAACGAAACTGGTTCAATATTCATATGGCTGATGTGTGCACTGGGCGACGATCGTCAGACTGTTTACCCAGCATATCACGGTCATTAGCAGCGGCGGTTGCAGGATTGAGTTGGGATCATCATGGAGCAAAGTTAGTATGACAGTGTTAGTGACGTGAAACAGGTGCATCAACGAACTCTAATCTACTGCCCGATTGAATCTTCGTGATGTTGCTACTAGCCTCAGCAAACCATAGAAAGGAATACTCGTAGTACTTGTCTTATCATCATGAACAATCATCAATATCATCAGCATCACCACCGTCATGGCCGCAACGAGCAGCAGCAGCAGCAAACAATAAGCAACATTCGCAAAGTGTCTGGAGCTTAGCAGTGAGTTCGTGTTACCACCAAACGTCGACCAGGCGAACTTAGCGCCCTGAAGCGGCTTACCAGATGTGCCATCCGATAAGCGGAGTTGCCGAGAGCTCACCGTTGCGACAGCATGATCGGGCTGCTCCTAGCACGAGCTTCTTCTGCCCATACAGATCCTCGGTGCTAGTGAGGTCGGCCCCTCTGACAAGTCGGCTGAGGGTTACCATAGCTGCAAGAAGTCGAATTGCGGAGAGCTTTGCAGTGGTAAAGACCTGAGGACTGAGCACCTGAATCACACACGATGTTGCAGTCAAAGGGACCACCGTTGAAGAAGGCTCCCAAGCCTGTTCTGTCTCTTTAATCGCCTTGTCAAGACAAGATTTAAAATAGGAGGAGCAAGGCTGCCATCTTAAGAGCTTGCAGCGCTCCAGCAAGCTCTTGGCATTCGGTGGCGGCTCGAAAAAGGCAGGCAACTTGTTGAGCTGTCGTGATCCCTCGGGGTTTCCTTCAGAACATGCTAAATTCTCAAAGGCCATCGAGGAACCATTGCACAGAATTCAGCTGCAGAGTTCGGTCCATGCAGCAGGACCACTCCTCTGTCGGTCCCTGATGCGGTAGGCCTGGGCTGGGCTCCGATTGGGATGCCACTAGCTTCCTTCGGAATGAGAATGCGAGTGCGAGAGAGTGTGAATTGATCTCATGCGAGAAATGATGAAGAAATGGTCCTTTTGTTGCCGTGGCATGTGGTCATTCGGACATCATGGTTTTTGCAACTTGGCAACACTTGCAGATGAGACCTGAGGGAAGCAGGCAGCATCGATGCTTCCTTTGCCAGGTGGGAGCCGCTCCATTCACGAGAGCCCCACGGACCAGAAGGGGTGTAGAGAACTTGTCATACTCCCTTGCAAAGGCCGAGGCTTTCAATTTCTTCCCTGGCCCCCCTTGCGATAGAAGTGGGCAAGCACCAGCCGAAGTGGGCTCCTGTCGTGAGATAAGGCGACGCAAAGATCTCGTAGCCCACATGTTGATGGTCTTTCACTCCTTGCTTCACGACAATTCTAGCGATTGCAGATTGCAGGACGGCCTTGCCAGCATGAGGGCCGACTTCAGTGTGCAGGAGCTTAGGCTTTTCAGACCGGCTAGAGCCCACAACGCATGTTCTTGCAGGAGGCTCCGAGGGAGCTGCGCGGCACTGAGCAGCACAGAATCTGCAATGTCGACGCAACTTCTTGTCATGCTTGGTGTATCCCGGTGCACATCAGCTTCTTCTCGCAAGGCCGGAGAGCAGCATGGGCAACGTCATGAGGCCTGGAGACTGGCTTCTGAGGTTCCAATAGCCCTCTTTGAAGCTTTTGACCATGGCCAGGCCGACGGTCGATGCCCGCATGCAGGCGGCACGCTGCAACCACTGCAACCCCGCATTTCCCAGCTTTGCGCCTCTGGCAGACTGGCAGGCAGCCGTGGCGGCGGTCACTGCCGTGCAGGCACAGGAAGCCTCGAAGCTCGCTAGAGAAATTTGGCCATGCCTGACTTAAAGACTTAACCTGTTGTAGCACCCTAAGTGCGAAAGTGACATTTTTTTTCGAGCATCGGAGGCTGTGAATAACGACGCCATGACAGCGTCGCGATCAGGCCCTGGTGTGGCTACAAGATTGTCAAGTGGATGCTGTTCTATCCCCAGCCTCTTGTAGGAAGAGTAGGGTAGGCATATGTAGGCATTAGGGTTTTGCATGGTGGTCGAAAATAGTAAATTAAAAACCGTGCGCATGCAAGCTCGCGCAAGGGCGGGCGCAAAACACATAACAGAATAACATATGCATAGCTTTGTATTCATATGGCTTTGTATTGGAGGTTACCAGGTGTTACAATCCCTTATCCCCGTAAAGCTGGACTGAGGAGGTTCTGTAAATATACATCGACCAGACCATGATAATGATGCCGGAGCTTGCGGTCGTGGTGATGAAAGCGAAGTTGATGGAGTTCTGCTGCTGCTTCTGCTTCTGCTTGTGTTGGTACTGGAGGTGGGTGAGGCTGATCGTGATGGTGATGGTGATGAACACCTGGTCATTGCAGCATATTTCTTGCTGGGCGTACTCAGCTTCATCTGCGTTAGATCCCTTGGACTCTCGTCCGAAGGCAGCCCAGCCCCGATCGTCCACTACCAGCATCCCGTACAGCTACTGCCTCAGAGCTCTTCAGAGACGGGCGCTGCAAGCCAGCTCGCTTCAGATATACAGACGGCTTACGAC